TGGAGAAAAGGTTGGATAGCTTCTTTTGTCTAAAGTGAATGCTTCCAGGGAGTCTACCTGCTCCAAGTTACCCATTTTTTTTTTTTTTTTTGGTTTGGTTTGTTTTTGTTTTTCCTTTTTAAAGATTGACTGGACTGACTGTGTAGAAGAACTGGGGTGTTGGCCAGAGAAATGGCAGAGTGAGAGATACCCTGGGTGATTCACCAGAGACAGAGTGGAGAACAGAACAGGCAGACTGACTGAAATACACTGCTGAGGGGAACAGCAGGTGAGACAGGAGAAGCTGGCTACATCATGTGGATTAGCTCCCTAGCTGCGGATGAAACTCAGGCCACAATGGTGATAGTGCTGAGCAAGTCATTCATTTTAGATGTACATTTATGCCACCTGACTCTACCCCCTGTCCCTGCCGTGGGCTAGAATTTCTCACTCACAGGTTAGTTATTTCTACAATAAATGACTTTTAATAAAGCTACTTCAAGTGCATTTGATTAATCTAGCTGCTTAGCTGTACTACCAGCACTTCTACATTACACTTTAAATCACATGTCTTCTGCTGTGATAAAACACAAGCCACTCAAAGTAATGCTTTGAATTACTCTCTACTCTCTATCCCCACCAGCAGTTGTTCTTCAGGGTTCCTTACAACAAATAACTAGGGGGTGGGGGAAGAAAATATGTCCTTCCTGTCCACTATTTTCCAAAGTAGCACATTTTCAAAGATTGTATGTTGGTATAAGTTTTTGTTAAAGCAAGACCTGAAGACATGTGCAGGCCAACTAAAGCTGACATTTAATTTACAGTTAAAATTCTTCTCCAGCTAACAGAGCTCATTGATTCTGACAGTAAGTGCCTGCTACATCGCTGATAGTCTCTGTAATGTAAACCACTTCTCACTTAAGCAACACATTAGCATTTTGAAGAGAATACATGCACACTTCCCTGTTCATCAACACACTCTCTTCATAATTCCCCAACAGTACAACAGTACAAGATAAGCTGACTTCATTCCTTTTTCAAAAGGAGGAGAGCCCCTGATTTTCATGACAATTACTAACACAGCATACCCCACTTTTCAATTAGGTTCATACTGGAGATGGAGTTCCAAGTACTCTTTCAACAGACATCCCAGATCCCATAGACATGCAAAATAGTAATTTTTTGCCAAAGTAATGAAATCTAAATTAGCTTGACAGATGTGCCAGTGCTAACAATACTGCCATTTACTAAAAAGGTCTGTAAAACCTTATCCTCAGAATCTAAGACATCTTTTTAAAAGTCGCAAAGCAGCTAATCTTCATTCTTAGAGGATGATCTGACTTATTTTCAGTACTAGAACTATACTGCAATCATATTTAGTAATTGAACATGTTAACTTAGGATATACTTTCTTCTATATTGCACTAGATGCAGAGAAGGATGTCGCCTCTGGTCGTCGAATTCAGCTCAGAACCAACTAACCCAGAATGTAGTCATTCGGTTTCCTTCTAAACTACGCTTTAGGAGGGGGATAAATCTACCCAAGAAAAAGGTGACAAGTTGCTCTCATGCATGATAACCAAGGAAAAGGGGCACAGTTTTGAAGAAACAAACGCCACAGCGACGCCAGGAAACCCCGCACGCACAACAGGATGAGTGATTGGCGGCAGAAAGTGACGACAGTGGGAATAAGCACGACCAAAATAATGGCCAAGCGAGGCTGCTGATGGAGGGGGAAGAACTGCATGATTAGAGACAACAAGGTTGGGTGGGGTTGGGGAGACTTACAGGAACAAAGTGATAGGAAAAAGGAATTCAACTCTTCCCATTCTTCAGAGGTCCAGAGGCTCCTGTTCTCTGCCTCCCACACTAGCAATATATGTGCACACAAAGGAACACTACAAGGCATGCTGACCCACTGGTTGGGGAATTACTGTTACATCTTCTTTAATTTCAAAATTGTGTATCATGCCCAATTTAGAACATGGATGAAATGTGTTTGACTCAATTTCTAAGAACTGGCCGAGAAAGATGAATTGTGCTTATTATCTTTTGGCCTAATACTATGGCCAACATTTCTTCCATTTTTCAACTCCCAAGTGTAGAAAACTAAAGTAGAAATTCCATTGCTATGAAACAATTTACCAGAAATCTTCATTCTCTTACTGTTTTCTTGGGAGGAAAAAACTATATTTTAGACACAATCCTAAATCATACATATGTTGATACTGCCCTACTTTGAGCTTTATTTATTTTAAAATATTCACCAGAAACTGTGATCTTCAATAAATCTATAAAGCAAATATCTGCCATTATGTATACATGCTTGGTAGCCACAGGCTCTAATCCAAGAAAACTAAAAATTTCAATGCTATCAAAATCCTTATGAAACCAGAACCTCAAACATTTGACTATCTCAAATACTTAATTATATATATATGATTTATGCTTAATACAACAACCACTGAGACACACACACACACACACACACACACACACGGCCTCATAGCTAATTAATTGTTATTATCAATGACCACTGAGCTGATGATCCTGCTTCAGCTATTTGAATGCTTTTCTGACTGGGGGTCAGTTTGATGATAATGGTTTTTAAGAATGAGTTTCAATACAATCTGATCTTACAAGTTGATCATTACTAGAACATAGAGGTCTCTGCATCCACTACATATACATACACGTGAAACAAGTATATAAAACTATATAACGTAATCTATTCCTGACATTTCATATGCTGTTCTTTTTGGCTTCATCTAATTTGAGGAGGGGGAGGCAAGGATGGAGGACAGCCAATTCATTATTAACTTGACTACAGAATGGCTGCCACTGGCAGTTTGAAAACCACTGACCTATGAGTTGATAAACATCAAAATGAACAAGGAGCAGTGTATCACTCTACTTGATAAAACAGCCTTGGGTCAATGCCACTCAAAAGCCATGGCTATTATATTCTTTTCCAGTCCTTAGATTTCTCCAGTAATAACCTTCACTTCAAACAAAAGTATGTTGAAGGACCCCTGAAGATGAAATAGAGTATGATATACCATTAGAAGCCACAGACTAGAAACTATCCCAGGACTGCCTCTCAGGAGACAGAACAATATAAAACTATTATCACTTCTGAGGGTTATCTGTGGCTATGGGAAGCACATCCTTAGTAGAACTAAAATGATTCACTCAACCTACACATAAGTGTGTATACAGTTTATTTCAGCATTTAAAAAAAAATAAAGCATAAGTTTGAAAACAATTTCTTTTCTCCAATCACTGCACTGACAATTTATTTTCTACTTCTAATACATGTCATAAAACAAATCATAACCCGTCAAATCAACACCTTGAGCCAGTAATGAATGGGCTGAAGCTGCAATTACAAAAACACAACTTTAGAGGTCACACACACAAAATCAACCTAGTGGGATAAGAGGACCAGAGATAAATTACCACTCACTAATTGACCACCTTTTACTGATAAGAAAAAGCCCAAAGAATTGAAAACATCAAATATGACTGTTTATTTAATTCTAGGATATCATAGGAGAAAGTGTAAGACTCAGGGTAAGAAAAAAAATGTAGTAGCACCTACTATACTTGTGTTTTTGTATTTTTAACTTACACATACATGTATTTTTCCAGATCCTTCTTATAACCTATCAAGATAAGTGTTAGATCTAAAACAAAGGTTAGTGGCTCCAGAGTCTAACCTCTTAACCACTAAGCCATAACTCTTTCAAAGGGAACAGGGGTTCTCCACTCTGGCTGTGTATGAGAATCCCCTGTGGAATTAAAACAAAACAAAGAGATGCCAAAGTGCTATCCCAAAGAGAGATCTTTTTAAGTTGAAGTAGCAAATATTATAGGGAAATAAATTCTGTAAACAGCGTATTAAATACCACTTCCAACCCACTGTGTCAGAAAAGACCTTTATGGAGAGGAGAGACTATCGTGCTATTACATAAAATACCTGGTTAAACTGAATGACTGCCTTGGTTAACAGTGAGTCCATTTGAGCTTGGAACTTCCTAGGTCACTGTCATTACAGACTATAATTTAATATAAAGCACCTTTGTCCTAGGTTTTAATACCTCAATTCCATTAAGAATTTAACTGTTGACATATCAAAAGGATCTTAACATAAGGTAGACTGATAAAAAATTAGATTGCACCACTGTATTTCTATTAAGTGTTACCTATCGATTATTTAAACATATTTTCCTTATCTAAAAAAACATTAATAAACTCTGCATTCCCCCAGATTTGATTCACTTCCACCCCCTTAAGAAAACATTTAGTAGCAAGTAAAGAGTATAAAATTAAGTTTCCAAGATTTCAAATAATTGAGAAATGATTTTGACATCACTCAAATAAAATGTTATGATCATAAAAACCTTGAAGATTTTTGATGGTTAAGTGGGTAATTTGAAGCCTAGAATTACCACCACTAGCAACCACAAATAACAGTGGGACTACACACCACAAACACATGAAAGATTAACTGCATCCATGCCCTGGCAAAGAGACAACAGTCACACCATTAATAAAAGAACATTCATTCTCTCAGTAAAACTTCGTTATAAAAGACGAAAACAAGCACAAACTATATAAAGGGTCCAGGTAAGAATTACTGGTTCAAATACTCCTACTGAAGAATTTACCCAACTGTTTCCTTCAGACTACCATGAGATGACAGCACTGCAGAGAAACTAGTCTCAGAGGTAAGCCATAAAGATACTGACTCGTGAATAATCCCTAAAGTTTATGCCTCATTACTATTAGGATCTAGGTAAGTAACTACAGCAGTGTCTCTGTAACTGTACCACAAAAGGGGTGGGGGGGAGAGAATCACCCATCACGCTTGTAATTATTTTTTGACACAAAATACTACTGCCATCAATCCACAAGCACATCTGCGTTCTAAATATTAAAATATGCAATAGTTAAATGAAAAATCAAGCATTCATTCTACCTATGACTTCAAGGGTCACTGGGACATTTCTAAAGCATACCTTTTAATCCACGCCATGGTACTTCAAGAACATGTTAAGGTAAGTCACTGCTTGGAACACTTCGATGCACCTCAAAACACCTCAGCCAGTGTATCTGTATCATTCTCTTTTCCTTTTGAGATCATAATGGTCCCGAAGAACTATAACGCTTCCATCTGAATGATAGTCTCATAATTTCAATGACTTAAAAACAAAAACAAAAAATAAGGACTTAAGTGTCGGTATGTTAAGCCACTAGTGCACTGTATTAACTGCTACCATGACTAAGAAAAGCAAAGAAACTTGCTGCTGCTAAGTAACACTTGTCATTTTTAATGCGAATCCTCATGAATGAGAAGGACTGCAGGCTTAATGGTGTCAGCCCTTGTTTTACTGTGATGTGTCAAAACTCTATAAATAATCTCCCTACCCCAACTGATTCTCCAGATCTATTCTCAAGGATGAAAATAACCTAGGAGACAGATCTGAACACTTGGTAGGTGCCAGATCCACCTATTCACTAACTAGTCTAATTATGTGTTGAATGAGTGCTGGAAATCACCCACACACCTGTATAAGAGGGAGTTCAGTAACAGACACAACAGGGATTCCTTCAAACAATGCTTCCCCTGGCATCAACATTACCACAATCCAAAGTCGCAACCTGAAAAGGGCTCTAGCGGGCCTCCCCAGTGGCGCAGCGTTTGAGCGCTGGGTTGAGAAGCTGCCCGCAGCCTCTGCAGCGCCGGTTCGAACCCCGGCTGCTCCCCGGCCACCGGAGGAGGGTCCCACAGCCCGCTGCTCCCCTCAGCAGCGTACCTCGGTCCCTCTGCCTGCTCTGCTCCCCGCTCTGGCTCTGGTGAATTCTCTCACCCTCCCATGCTTCTCACTGTACTCAGTACTTGTATAAATAAAATAAATAAATCTTTAAAAAAAAGAAAAGAGCTCTAGCTTCTCAAGCCCCATCAATCAAAAGCCTACATAAAAATGAACAGATACATGGCCAACTCAAGTTTTACTGCAGCTCTGATTGCCTTGGCAGTCTGTCCCTTTCCTCCACACTCCACCCTACCTTTATTATATAAAAACATTTCATTCATTAAAATGACACAGTAAGAAGTCCATGTATCCTATTTTACATCTAAGGATTCACTCTACTTTTGTTTCCAGTTTGACACTCTATAGTTCAAAGAGGAAAACAGGATACTCTAGCTACACAAAAACTAGTGGATAAATTATCAATAACGCACATATACATGTATGTCATAAAGCAATTAAAATTACCTCAGGATGACTGACTGGGAAATTTTTAATTAAAGCAAGCCATAAAAAGGCTTCCAAGGAAACAAAGTGGGCAGAAGTTCTGTTCTATTCTGCAGAATAGCTGGTGTAAAGGTTAGTAAGACAAGGAAAGGAAGATGACAAAGTTTCCCAGCTAGGGGTCAAAAGTGTGTGCTAAGGAGAAAGTGAAACTCTTTCCTTTTAAAGGGCAGATTCAACTGATGAAAACCTTCAAGTTCAGTGTCAGAAAATTACCTGTTTCTGAGATTTGAATTTATTGCAGGTTGTTTGGGGTATGCAGATAACAAAATGTAGGTCACTTTTCAGAAAACTGATCATGATGGCAGAGTTAAGCAGTATGATGTTAATGAACAGAAACAAGGAGCCTGGCCCATTGTGATTTTTAAAAACGGATTATCTTACTATATTAGTACAGCCCCTGAACCTTCCCACCCCAGCTTTAAACCACTTAGTGGGTCTGGACATGCACACAACCTCCAGGAAGGACACCCATATCATTTCCTATAATCTGCAGCTCCAAATAAATGTAATCTATAGACCATCAGGTATGGCTCCTCCCTGAGTCATAAAATGTTAACCACTGGAAAATAAAGCCAGACACTGAAGAATAAGAGTTTAACTCTGAAGCACTTACTCATTATCTCATTTACTATGAAATTCCATTTCACAGAGGAGAAAAGAGTGTGGTCAAATGACTAAGCCAAGAAAACATACTGTAAAAGGTAGGACTTAAATCTAGATCTTCTAGCTGGAATTACTGCACTTTCTGTACTACAACATTGGAGGATATTGTAAGTATAGTACTATTGTATAATATCGTTGGTTCTAAGGTTAACCTTGTTGACAATCTGCCAAGTACCATGCTAAGCTCACCATGTTACTTTATTTCATCCTAAACTACCACTCATAAGAATGACTAGTTGCCTCCTTTTGTAAGTGAGACTCAGAGATTTAAGTAATTGGCTAATTCCATACGTCAGAGATGGAAAGTGGTGGGACAGATTATTTGTTCTCACATGTCCAAGTCTCAAATACACACTCATGTTGCTATGCCAGTCCACCCAGAAGAAATCAAGTGAGAAATCAAGTAAGTTTATTTTTCAACCTGGCTGATGTAACAATAATCTAATCTTACAAATGCTTCTTATTTAAAAACCCAATGTATACAGATTTTTAGCTATGGTTTAACAAGAGGCTATATACACATTTATTCAAGTCACTACAAAGAATCAGAATCATGTTTAATCACTCAAACCAGAAACTTCATTTGATCCCTATGAATGAATCTAGTTTTCATTGAGGCTATGCACTTGAATATCTTATAAAGTTGACTTGGAAATTGTAATTGAATCAATCTAAATTCTAGTTCACAGAGTATAAAGGGCATTTTCCTGAAGAGGGTACTTTGCCAAAATTTCCCAGCTTGGCCCTGTCCCATGAAATATTAACATTACCATTCTTAGCATCAATGGCAGAGAAACCATTTATCAGCTCAAAGACATGAGGCCATACAATCAGGTTATCAGTAAAGAAAGACAAAGCAAATGGGCAGCTCTCTGCAGTGCTTCAAAATATGATTACTGAAAAGAAATCCCCCAAGTTAAGGACAGAAGGCTCCTAAGTAACATCAGGATGAACAGAAACCATGCACTTACACTGCATTCCTAAACTACCTGGCGAAGTGGTCATGAGACCCACTAGGCCAATGCTGACTAAGAAGGTCTATGAATCAAAGAAACCATTTTAAAATTGCTGATAAGAAATCATGCAGAATTACTCTAGAAATTCTGCAGAACTACAAAACTGTTACAGTAAGAAACCTGTATGGTCATTTAAAAAATGTCTTCATCAATAATAGTATGACTCTTCCACAGAATTCATTTTATAAGCATTGACATACAAAATAGATTCTAATAGGTATGCCTATCAGAATTTCTGATGCCCAACTACTTACCTGTAAATTGCCATATCAATGTGCATTAATCACCGTGTCTTAGTGTCTACGAAACATTGCACTTCCTGTACGAGACAGAAATGCATGCCATGTCAGCTGTGATCACCTTCTTCACTGTGCTGCATCCAAGGGCAGTGGCTTTTGTGTTTCATCTTTGTAAATCATCCAACCACTGAAACCTGGAACACTCTGGGCACTAACTGACCTAAGTTTTAGTTATAGACTTCATTTTGGATACATGATTGACAGCTAAATATAGAAGGTTCATGAGGGAGGGGGTGTCTAATGTGCTCTAAAACACAGTATTAGCACACCAATATTTCTCAAGTGAATACAAGACAATATTTAGGTGTAGCTTACACAGGCTGCAATGACAATATCGAGGACAACAGATTTTACTTTGAAACTAGATAATTTAAATTAACATTGGGCATTTTTGACCACTGGGTTTTATTTTGTTTCTAACTACTGAATTTATAAGTTTATAAGATCAGCCATTACTGCTAAGGCATAAACTTCAGAAAAGTAATTAGAAACAGATGCCAATTACTTCAAATTTTTATGCGTTTATAAACAGCCTCACACAGTAACTAAAACAACATAAATTTCTTTCCAACAGGAGAATGCTTAAATTATGGCATATCCACACAATGGAATAAAAGTTAATAATACTGGGGGCCTCCCTGGTGGCGCAGGCAGCTGAGCACCGCACTGTGAAGCTGTCCAGAGCCTCTGCAGCGACGGTTCCATCTCTGCCGGCTGGCGAGGGTCCCACATGGCGGGGCAGACCTCTCTTGTCTCGCCCGTTGCGCCCCTCAGCAGTGTATTTTGTCAGTCTGCCTGTTCTGTTCCCCACTGTCTCTGGTGAATCCTCTCACCCTCCCGTGCATCTGACCTGTACCCGGTGCTTGTATAAAAATAAATAAATCCTTTTAAAAAAAGTTAATAATATTAACATTTATAACCTGGTAACATACTAATTATATATGTGGCTACTTCACTATATATCTAATGTTTTCCCAAATTACATGTCTGCATATGGAGTTACATATTTTAATAAAGACAGAAAGGTATAAATGTGTTTATAAATATAAATATATGAGTTTCATGACTTCAAGGACAATTTCAAATGTATCCTTGGCACATGTCACAGTGCCTTCACTCAGGTATTAGAGTGGGATAAATTTTGGTAGTTAGAAGAATGCGCTCTGGGTGTGAATTCCAAATCTACCACACACTGGCTGTGCAATGCTGGACAAGTTAAATCACTAGAAACTACCTAAGTTTCTTCTTTTAAAAAGTTGGGATTAAAATAACATTCATATAAACGAAGAAAAAAATGAGTTAGTACGTACATATAAATATTTAGAAGAGCTCTGGCATATAATGGTGACCCAGTGAATGAGAAGTGAAGGAGAAGCAGTGCGTTCTTAAATACCTAATAGATGGATTCTACTTTTAAAATACTAGAAAGGTTAGTCAGCATACAAATATTAAAACAGATTTTCAAATTCTGCTTACTGCAACCAAAAGTAGGGTACAGATGACAACCCAATGCAGGCAGATGCAATCTATTTGATTCGTCATGAGTATGTTTAAATGCCTCTCATAATCTACTAAATTAACTTCATGACAACTAGTGGGTCACCCTTTATATGATGAACCCTTATTTTGTCCTTCAACTTTTTTTTTAATCAAGGGCAAGTTGGACCCATTAAATCAGTGATCTAATGTCAGAAAATACTTCAAAAGTTTCTATTCTGTCAAATATTTTTGTATGATACTCTTCCAAATTCTACTCTTTACTTTTACAACCACTACAAATCTCAATGGAAAGCTTTGATGAGATAACTGAATGGTGCACAAGAAATGTGCCAGCTTTTAAAGTACCCCTAAGTACTTAGTCTTAAAAACACTAAGTTTCCTGGTATGTTTGTTTTGTTCTGCG